TGCTATAAGTATATCCCTCCCAATGCTGGATGCAAATTGCATACATTTGTTAGTATTTGCCAATAGCCATTAAAAATGGAATACCTTATTTTTTTATTAAGTATCTGCTTTGGATGTGTGTTATTCGCAATATAATAGCTCAAATTTATTAGTATGCCTTATCAGAAAAAAATACATTTCTTTATTCATTTTTATCTTGCCTTTTTGCTCTAGCAAGCATTCATAAAAGAATGCTCATAAGAGAATATATGGGGCAGTGACTCAATCAAAAATCAAAGACCAAAACTTATGCTTAACTTCTTTCCCCCCCCCCCCGGGATCAATACATTTACTGCTTGATTGGCTGGGTGAGGTAGAAATAACAAAACCTGAACATCGTAGCTCACAAAAATCCCCTAAATGGATGAATAAGATTAATTTGGGTTTTCTATCCCTGCACATTTTTACATTGGGTTAGGCTTCACCACAAATGTTTACTTTTAAGGAATTGCAGCCAAGCAAATATTTTCTGCCAGCACCAGGCACTGCTTTAGTTGGAAATTAAATCTGGGTCAAGTTAATATCCACATCTCTGTACAGTATAGGCAAGCCCTTAATACTATAGGCAAGGAAGAATAAAGATGCAGTCTAAGCAGAAGGAATTATTTCCAGAGGAAATTTTAACCACACATGTTTCTTTAGAAAATCCAGTGGAAATTTGCTTCTAATTTGTGCTTTTAATTATTATTGACTAAATACATGCATCCTATTAATGTTTAACATATATATTAATGTCTTCACAAACCAAGCTGTGCACAGAAACCTTTCTTCAGTTAATTGGGTTTTTAGATTTTTTTTACTTCTTTAGGTATCTTTAAGTCAGTTTTGACTCTTGGCAATTACACGAAGAAGTCTCTACAGTTTTCTCAGCTACATTTTTGGAAATGTCTTGCCATTGCCTTCTTCCTAAGGCTGAGAGGGAGTGGTTTGCCCTGCTGGCTTTGTACCTAAGGGAGAACTAGAACTCAAAGTCTTTTGGTTTCGAGCCCAATGCTCTCAATTTGAATTTATAATACAAATTTTATTAGTGACTTTGATTGAATGACTTAGAAAAGCATTATGATTTACTATTATATCCTCAAAGATTACTAGCCCCAATGCAAAGTAATTGTCATTGCTGAATGACAGGTGATCTCCAACTGAGCATCTGGGGGTCCTCCTGAACCAATAACTCCTGTTCAAAGGGAAGGTGACAACTTTGACCAAGGGGGAGATTGGCACAGCTCCATCTGGTGCACCAGTGCACAAGTTGTGTGGCTTCATCGATCAAGAGGCTCTAGTTCAGCAGTTCTCAACCTGTGGGTTGTGACCCCTTTGGGGGTCGAACGACCCTTTCAGAGGGGTCGCCTAAGATCATTGGAAAACACATATTTCCGATGGTCTTAGGAACTGAGACACTGCTCCTCTATCCTCTCCAGGCAGATAAAAACAACACAGAGAATGTAAGACTTAAAGCATCAAAGAAGCAACTTCCCGCCTCTCAGGTAGAGCTAGCAAAAGCCAATGTTGGGCTCAATTATGGTCATAAGTTGAGGACTACCTGTAGCTGTGGAATTCCTTTTATTGGATGGTTCTATCTTCTGGAATCTAGAGTCTGATCCTGCATGTCAGATATTTACATTACGATTCATAACAGTAGCAAAATTACAGTTATGAAGTAACAACTAAAATACTTTTATGGTTGGGGGTCACCACAACATGAGGAACTGTATTAAAGGGTCGCGGCATTAGGAAGGTTGAGAACCACTGCTCTAGTTACTTTGATACTTGACTACTGCAATGTCCTTTACATGAGACTGCCCTTGAAAACTACTCTGAAGCTTCAACTGGTCTAGAAAATAGTGCTCAGGGATGATGCTCCATTATGCCCACATAACACTTCTGCTCAGCAAGCTGCACTGGTTGCTAGTATTCTTCTGGGTGCAATTCAAAGTTCTAGTTATTACCTATAAAGCTCTACATGGCATGAGCCAGGTTACTTGAGGGACTGACTATTTCCCAAGGTTTCTGCCTGTCACAGAGCTTGCTCTTTAGAATCTAAAATCCATGTGGCCCTCACCCCGATAGCATTCAGTAAAGCCTTGAAGACTTGGCTGTTCTTTCAGGCCTTGGATTGAGATGGGCTCCTTGTTGGATTCATCTTTCTTATTTTTCTTTATGTCTCTATATAGTGATGGGATCCCATCTTGTTTTGATTTGTATTGGATTTTTATGGTAATATATTGTGAGCCACTCAGAGTTATGGTATTTAGCACATTCTATGTGCTAATTATAAACTAATTATTCCTTAGTTTCATTATCTGGATTGTTTCTGGATCCTGTCCTCTGGATTATCCTTCGGCCCTGATTTGCTCTCTTTCATCCTGCTTGTTCTTCACCCCTAATAACCTGGCAAAATTCTTGGGTGATCTAGCATCAATGGGTAAATAAAGCTCATTCTACACATTCATGAACTCCATATAATTAGTTTACCAGTAGATTATCAGATGATGATGATGATGATGTTATCCATTCAGTCATGTCCAACTCTTGGCAATTCTATGGGCCAGGTCTCTCCACATCTTCCAATTTTGCACTACTTCTTGGAGTTTTTGAGTATTCTTTGGCTGGTAAATTATCCTTTAGTAGTAAAAAATAATCCTACTGTATTAGTTAATAATAGTATTGAACTGGAAACATTAAAGTTGCGCCCAAAACAAACCTTATCAGTTCTGGCTTGTATTAGAGGTGACATTGCTGGACAAGTTGCTTAGCATATAAGCATATGCAGAGTACCATGGATATTTTTAAAAAAGAGATACCATTGTGGTACCATAATGTACTTTGCATTATTTTGGTGTCATTGGATTCCTGCCTCACTAAGGCTCACGTCCTAGCAAAGTGGAATTAGAATTTTGTTCACTCTGCATTTTCTTTTTCTTGCTGTCAGTTTTTCTTCTCTATCTAGCTGTGATGAACAACTGTTATAGCACCTTCTATCTATTTTATTTTATTATTTAATTTGATTTATATGGTCACCCATCATGTGGCATACAGCTCTGGTGACTAATAATGATGATAAAATCATAAACAGTAAAACAAAAGATCATATATATCTATTCATCTATGCAATCCACATATTCCAACCTTACTATCCCAACAGCCGGGGGGGGGGGAATAGTTCTTTTTAGCTATCCAAAAGGTTAAGAGAGTGGGGACCTGCCAAAAAGCACCTTGGGACAACCATGACCTGGATGACTGAGAATCTCCATAGACACTTAGCTATGCACTTTGGGTTGAACACCCTTCGAATGGTGAGGAGTATGAACAGATTTCCAGACAACATTGCAGACTAAGGAACCATTTGCACTTCAATTCGAGATGCAGACATCACAGACTCATTCCCTACAGCCTGTGCCTGTCTTCAACAGTGAAGGGACTCAAGGCAGAAAACATCCTGCAGCCAAGAAGGCTCCACACACATTTGCACTACTCAGGTGACCCTGAGGACACAGGTACACCTCCAAATGGCCTCAATAACTCTCTCAAAGAATGCAAATGACCAGCTGTCTGCAAGGAATATGAATCCTTCCATTCTCCACTATCTAGTTCAGTGGTTCTCAACCTGTGGGTCGGGACCCCATTTGGGGTCGAATGACCATTTCACGGGGGTCGCCAAACCATGCTGTCTGCCATTTTTTTCCCTTTTCCCTAGCTGTCCTACTCCCTCTTATTGGTGGCCACAACCACTTGGGGGTCACCACAACATGGGGAACTGTATTATGGGGTCACGGCATTAGAAAGGTTGAGAATCACTGATCTAGTTAGAGCTGAAGAAGCTTCTTGGATAGGAAGCAAAATGTCTTCAAAGAAAAACAAAAAAGTCCAGTTGCCTCCTGAAAAAAGCGCCTTTGGGACAACCATGATCTGGATGACTGAGAATCTCCATAGACATGGACCTGCCAGATCTCAAAAAGAAGGTGATCCACTGGGGTTGGGTTGCTACCGAAAAGGCATGCTTTCTATGTCCCACTAAAGGCAACATTTAAAGGAAGGGATCTGGATCATTCCTGTTCAATCCAATCTGGTAGAATGGGCAGAAATTCTCAGGGAGAGCCAGTCCCAAAATAACCTGGCTCTGTGCCATGTAGACTTTAAAGGGGATAACCAGTACCTTGAATTACACCCCAAAAGAAACTGGAAACCAGTGCAGCCTGCACAACAATGGTTTTACATTGACAAACTGAGAGACACACAGTATTGCAGCAAGCTGGTGCATTCTGGATCAGTGGTGTTCAAAGTCAGCCCCACATAGAGCAATAATCCAACCAAGAAATAACCAAGGGATTAGTGACTATAAACAAAGCCTCCTGGTCCAGCAATTAGCACCTAAGATCTATTTGTGCAAAACACACACACACACATCAGCCACAGCTGCTATCTGCTCCTTGAACACGTGCCACAAATATCCTCTTGTGTACCAGCTCTGTCCTTGTGTGCTGGCGAATTGGATGGACTGGAATCAAAGGGAAGGTTAAGGAAATGTATGGTAGCAGCAGCAGGGAGAACTCTGACTTGTAGACTATTTTCTACAAATATTCAGATGTGGGGGGTGAGGTTCTCAAAGGATAGGCATGAGGATAAGTATAAAGTGGCAAGGCTTTGTATAATTGTACCCACCAGCTCCTTGGCTGCATTGAGTTTTGAAATGCAACAAATGCATAGTCACTTGTTTTCCACACCAATTTAATTTTTAAAAAAATGAATTTGGAGACAGATATTCGCACTCATTTCTATTTTGCCTCCACTTGGTCCAATCTACTAGAAATTTTTATAAATTTAACCCTGGCCTATCTTCAAACTGTCATGCTTTTTTGATGGAAAAGCTAGTTGCTAGAAATAGGGAGAGGGCAAGCTTCTAAGGGTAAACTAAATCCAGTAAAACCGAAGGGAAACCAAACAAAATCAGCTAAACAGGATGGTAAAGCTATACGAATATGTTTAATTATAAATCAAAATTCATTTGGGTGCATATTAATTCCAAATAGGTATATTGTTTTTCTTATTTTAAAAAATAAGCATTTTTCCATGTGAATCAAGCCTCTTTTTTTTTTTAGGTCCTGAAAGAAGAATAAGCCTCCCAATTATGTTCTTGATTTATTTCCTAGTTCAAATACTCTTCCTCTCCTAAATAGATATTGACCATTAGTCAGGCTCAGTGGTGCCAGATCTTAGAAAAAAGTGGTTTATGAGATTTACATAATCAGTCCACAGAATGTTCCAAGCTGGAATGTAGCATCTGAAAAAAGAAAAAAAAACTATTAGAGTAATGAAACATGATAGAATGAAACACATATACTGGCTGTTATAACATTTAATCTTGCCACACAAATACTCTGCAGAATTTTTCCTAGAAATTCTTTGGATGTAGACAACCTACAGTGGAAATGTGATTAGACATGACATGCTAGAAGTAATGTATATTTCCCTTAGCTCGGTTTTATTGGTTTTTTGATAGTGCTGAAACAGCAGCCTTGTCCTGTATGACAAAAGGCCTGCAAAGAAGTTAAAGATTAAGAAACCTGCTTTTTAATGTTCATCAGTTTTATATGTTCCCATCCTTTGTGTCTTTTCAGTGTGGGAATTGTTAATTAAAGGTAAATAGTGAAGGAAAACACTTTAAATGTGCTTTATTGGGGGGGAGCTATAAAACTGAGCAAATCTGAAAGATAATGAAAGAACATCAGTATATGGGAAGGGCAAAACTTCTAGAAGTAAGTAGATGAGCTATTCTGATACTACTGATTTACTATATATGATTCAACCAAAAGTACCCATAATATTTTTGTACCTCCTCTACATCTCACTTGAGTGAAGTCAAAGTGGGAATTCATAGTCCAGAGCTTGAGAGAGGCTGGTTTTGCTCCTCACACTTCTACACAGCCTATTATTGATCACTTCAGAAGGGCAACTTTGAATATATTACCTATAGGTTGCTCACAGGATTCAAGAGTGTCACTGTGAGTCTTAAATTGCAAAACGGATCATAGCAGGACTTTGGAAATGAGCCAAGACATGGGAACCAAGATTTGCTCCAGGAGCACTGGATTAAATAAACTAAGGAAAGCAAGAACTGAAGAGCAAGGAAAAGTGGTGTCCAGATTTTGGCATCAGCCAGAACTCATGGAATGAATCAAAATAAATTAGAGGACATAAAATTCAAGAAGACCAGGTTGTTCAGCTATAACAAGAAATCCCATTATTTCCCTTCCTCTCTAATAATAATAATAATAGTAGTAAAGTTGGAAGGGACCTTAGAGGTAATCTAGTCCAACCCCCTGCTCGGGCAGGAAACCCTACACCATTTCAGACAAATGGCTGTCCAGTCTCTTCTTAAAAACTTCCAGTGTTGGAGCATTTACTGCTTCTGGAGGCAAACTGTTCCACTGATTAATTGTTCTCACTGTCAGGAAGTTTCTCCTTAGTTCTAGGTTGCTTCTCTCCTTGATTAGTTTCCACCCGTTGCTTCTTGTCCTGCCTTCAGGTGCTTTGGAAAATAGCTTAATTCCCTCTTCTTTATGGCAGCCCCTGAGATATTGGAATACTGCTATCATGTCCCCCCTTGTCCCTCTCTTCGTTAAACTAGACATACCCAATTCTAGCAACCGTTCCTTATATGTTTTAGCCTCCAGTCCCCTATCATCTTTGTTGCTCTTCTCTGTACTCTTTCTAGAGTCTCAACATCTTTTTTACATCGTGGTGACCAAAACTGGATGCAGTATTCCAAGTGTGGCCTTACCAAGGCATTGTAGAGTGGTATTAATACTTCACGGATCTTGATTCTATACCTCTGTTCAAGCGTCTAGCACATGGGTTGGCTCTTTTGGCAGCTGAAGCACACTGCTGGCTCATATTTATGATTTGTCTACTAGGACTCGAGGTACCTCTCACCGTTACGAATATGAGCATGTGCCATTATGCTGTACTTGTGCATTTGGTTTTCTGCCTAAATGTAGGAACCTGCTTTTCTTCACCATTGAATTTCAGTTTGGTATAGTTGTGCCAGTGTTCAAGTCTGTCCAGATCCTTCTGTATCTTAAGCCTGTCTTCTGGAGTGTTGGCTATTCCTGCCAGCTTGATGTCGTCTGCAAATTTGATGAGTTCCCCATCTATCCCTTCATCCAAATCGTTGATGAAGATGTTGAAGAGTACTGGGCCCAGAACAGAGCCCTGGGGCACCCCACTACACACTTCCCTCCATACAGATGCAGTTCCATTGAGGACCACTCACTGAGTACGCCCGGTCAGCCAGCTACGGATCCATCTGGTGGTGATTCTGTCTACCCCACATTTTTCTATCTTATCAAGTAGTAGGTTGTGATCTATTTTATCAAATGCCTTACTGAAGTCCAAGTAAATTATGTCCACAGCATTCCTCTGATCCACTAATTTTGTCACTTGGTCAAAGAATGCAATAAGATTTGTCTAGCATGATCTATTTTTGACAAACCCATGTTGGCTTTTAGTAATGATTTAATGACTCTAGATGAAATTGATTCTGATTTTGGAATTCAAAGGGAGAGAAAGCTTTTTAATATAGGTGGATATAATATAAGGGATATTATTAATTAAGGGATCATTACAGAGAAGAATTAATTGGTGGATGAAGCATAATATAACAAACATATAGTGGAACAAATATAACATTATATTAACACAAAACTACACTCACGCTTAGCCCTCTGAAAGGACTCATTTATGTTCTATTGTAGCTAGTATACAAAACAGAGCTATGCTATCTGTGATCATTAATTCCAGATCAATTAATACAAGATTGTGATGATTATCCTTAGTCTCACTTAAATATCACATTCTGATTGTATATAGCCTGAATATCTCTATTTAAAAAGGAAGTTTAGCAGGACATTACCCACAGTTTCAATTTCTATTAGGCTTTCATGTGGTAATCCCATTCCACTGAACTCTTTAATCAGCTTTTCTCCTATCTTTTATAACTATAAGTTTTCTGAGAGGCAATGCTTTAGGGTAACAAAAGGCCTAGGCATATATGACTAGAGTATATTGGTTATTCTTTTTGGGTGCTATTGACAGAACTAGTAGTGCTGCTCAAATGACAACTGGTTTTGCAGCAGCCCTACGTGAAAACCATGAGTTGTATGCCACCAATACATGTCAGTGGTTTACTTGCAGATCACTTGACATCTGTACAAAAAGTCTACCATGAGTTTGGCACTAGAGTGAAACCAACTTTTTGTTGGCACTTTAAAGACTAGTCCATTTATTTGCATATAAACCTTCGTGGTTTACAGTGCATAGAATGTATTGAGTGAGATCTTCTGAAATTATTTCAATACAAAAATAATTCAAGTTGCCATTAATTACTGGCATTACTTTTCTAAGTCACTCTTAGTCATGTCTAAGAAAGGACTTTGTATGGATTGGAAATTACACTACAGATGTTTGAGATTGTAGTTTGCCAAAGTTTTAAGTGGAAATCAACTTCTAAAATTCAAGCTGCCAGCCTTAAGTTTCTTAAACTATGGGAAATTGAGAAGAAAAGGAAATTAGCAAGCCCAACTGCATGACCTAAACAGCTTTATCCCATAATTATAATTGCATTTTTATTGGGCTCTTTTATACAAATATGTGCAATGCTAATGTTACTTACCTGACTGACACGTAAATGGCAAAAACTGGTAACATTAATCCTTCATATTATCTAGACATTCTCAAAAATAGCTGAATTGCATTAAATATCTGTATTAAAAATAATTTTGAATCAAATATTCCTCTGATTTTGTTTTGGGAATAAAAATATTTCAAATGTTGCCCTGAGAATGACTGCTGCTGAAATCTTCTGTTGCTATTCTATTGTTTCCCAAATTTATGTTGTTTTGTAATAATTCTCTATCTCAATCCAATTTTTCCCCCTTATAAACTATCAAAGATTACAAAATGAATATGATGACTTTGCAGTGTTATGTGTTTAATCACATTCATCATATGGAGAGCACAAGAATGCTAATTTACAAAGCTATACTAGCCAATTATGAAGTTAAAAATAAATTATTTAAGTCAATTCTTTATTCCGTATTATATATCTGATACCATACAGTAATGAACAGAAGGCTTCTGAATCCCAAAGATGCTTTTCAAAAAGCAACTGGACTTTCTTGGTCCAGTTATTACCAAGTTATCAAGAAAGTCCAGTTGCCTTTTGAAAAGCACCTTTGGGACAACCATGACGTGGATGATTGAGAAGCTCCATAAATGCTTCTGAGGTTTCTCAGTGCATTTACTAATAGTTTTAAAAAATGGTCTTTTTCAACCATGCTGATAGCGGCCCATCAAGAGGACTAAATTGCATATTGTCCGATGACTATGCACAAATATATGTGGACAAATATTTGATTGGTTTATATGAAATATTAATACAAATACTTTTTACTTCAGTAATAACAGATGGTAAAAAGATAATTGGTTGGTATTCTCTCAGTTGAAATATTGAATAGGGACATTTACCCACTTGCATTTAACCACAACACATATATGCCCCAACTTCTTTCTTACATCATGTCTTCATGGTACTGACTATGTCTCATCCCCAATTCTTATTTCATGCAATCTTAAGTTGCTTTTAGCTGTTTAAAGTTGTGTTTTCAGGGGAGGGGGGGAAGATATTACAATGGTAGTTTGCCAAGCTTCGGTTTCTCTGTGCATGTTATTTTGCTCTGCTGATTATGATGCTTTCAAATTATCTTTGAAGATGAAGACTCACTGCATTTATTAAAGACATTCAAAATTAATAAAAATCAAGAATGTACATAGAGTGCGTATCTAGAGTCATATTTAGACTCAACAAAACCATCAAATTTTGACATACTGACAAAGTGCATGAAATAATTGGCTGAAGTGTCCTTTGAGCTTGAGTCTCACAAGCAGTGGTAGGATTCAGCCGGTTCGCACCAGTTCGGCAGAACCAGTAGCTAATTTTTTTGTTGCCCAGACCCAGAATGGACTTCCGGAAGTGGCATCCACACAGAGAACCAGTTGTTCACATATTTGAATCCCACCACTGCTCACAAGCATATGTACAATGGAGAGCATCTAAAGGTTACAGATTGGGACAATATGGAGACTTTGTGAGTATTTTGAATAATTCTCTGTTGGAAAGGGTGCTACTGTAGAGACCTCATCAAGTAAACTAAACCAAATAGACTACAACATGGCTTAGCACAATGTGTGAATCTAGATTTATACAGTGACAGAAAATAATGG